GTATTGTTTTGTAAATTATTTTTTCTTTGAATATATTCTGGGGATAAAAGTGGCAGACATTAGATTTATTCTTCTGCTACCTTTCATTTTATTTTGGTTTTTGATTTGTGTATTTTCTTTGTTTTCTATTATATGTTGCTATTTTTAATTAAATGAATACAGTTTTTTTTAATTGAATTACTTAAGTCTGTTTCTCATTTTGTTTACTTTACATTACACAAAAAGAAAAGTTGACATTCCTACTCCAAACTCAAGATAAAACAGTCAGAATCATCCTTGGCGAGAATGATCCTGATCCATCATCAGATCGTCTTGACTCTTTGTGACCTTTGGACTGACTGTTAACTCACTGAGCATCAAGTGCCCTTTTAGACTTCAACAGTCTGATGGTTCCACATGGTTCAACAGGACCATCATTCTATCAAACCCAGTGAGTGACCTCATCAGACACAGCTCAATCCATCCATTATCTTAACACACTTCTTCCTTGCAGGCTTATGGGGGTCACTGGTACCCATATCCATCAGTCACAGTGCGATGGGCGGGGTACACCCTGGACAGGTCACAAGTCCATCACAGGGCCACACATAGAGACAAACGAGACAAACAACCATTCACTCTCTCACTCACACTTAGGGACAATTTAGAGTTATCATTTAACCTGACAGTCATGTTTTTGGCCTATGGAAAGAAACTGAAGTATCTGGAGAAAACCCATGCATGCACGGAGAGAACATGCAAACTTTACCCAGAAAGGTGGAGTGAGGCATCAGCTCTATCAATCGAGCCACCGTGTCGCCCTCACACAGCTCCATGTTCATCTTTTTATGTATTTTATAGACTTTATTGATCCCCTGGGGGAAATAAATTCTCTGCATTTTTCCCATGGCACATGCGAACACACATGTGGAGCAGTGGTGCCCGGGGAGCAGCAGGTCAAGAGCCCAGAGTGGGGCTGGTTGGTCTGGACCTTCTGACCACAGGCTCACCTTCTCTAACCTCTGCACAACCACTTCCCCTTTAAATATTTCTAAAGCACTAACATACTGACTAATTAAAAAAAGCTAATTTTAAAGCACTAACATAACCACTTTAATCCATGAAACATTATGTTACTCTCTTGAGCATCATCATTGATATTTCACAGTCTTTTGACCACTGTGACGTATATCTGACCGATTTATTTACCTCACTGATGCTCAGTGGTGGGCACCAGCCCGCTAAAGCGCAAATCCGCTAATTGCGGACCTAAATATTTCGTTTGTGCTTTAGCGGTCTTACTATTTTTCATAATTCATAAGCGGACTTGTGCTTTCTAAAATTAAAATGCAGTACTGCTAATAACTAATTATCTACCAGTCATCATTATCTTGAACAGCAGAAGGTATGGCTGTCAATGAATCACAACACACATGATCTATCTAACAGCACCCCTCCCAGATAAACACACTTATTTTGAAGGTATACATCCTGCTGACTGTTGGTTTCGGTCACGGTTCTGATTTCCCACAATACTTTGTGTCTGCTTACATAGCAGGAAGGCAATAGCAAAAACAGTTAACGTTTGTATTCCATACCAAAATTTTGAATGTATTGATTTATTTTACTTTACAATCGGAGCTCCTTTTTCAAAAAAAGAAAAAGTTTAAACGATGGAGCTCAATAGTTGACGTAATTGGTCGAAGCAATCGGCCAACGGGGTTAGAGACGCAGAAATGATTTAAAGATGTTATGCTGTTGAAGACTGACATCTAGTGGTCAACTGGAGCAACTACATGGAAAACTTTAAAACCCAAGCTCTTATTTTGAAGAGAAGATAGTTTCCTGTATTGCGTGCTTTTGTTTCCCATCACAAATCAAATCCGTCATGTACCCAGAATGCATCGCTTCAATTTTCCAATAAACAGTTTTAAAATTACTTTATTGATGCTTCTTTAATGAAAAATCTACAACAAACAAAAGAAAAAGACAAATAAGCAGCCGAACTAGCAATCCTCAACAACTTTTTAAAGAAGCAGTTGAACTAGCAATCCTCAACAACTTTTTAAAGAAGCAGTTGAACTAGCAATCCTCAACAACTTTTTAAAGAAGCAGTTGAACTAGCAATCCTCAACAACTTTTTAATTTTTATATCAGGAGCCAAAGTTCTGCTTCAGGAAATCACATCCCCAGCAATCGGCGGTTGTATGATTAAGTTGTAAAAGAGTTCATACACCACTAGTTGGCAGTGTTATGCATATATTGTACATGAATAGTTGCCAGCTAGTAAGTGTCAAATTGAACTTGCGCTTTAAGATTAGCTTCCTCTAGTTTTTCTATGGCATAAGCGCTTTTGAAGTTACGGAGCTAAATATTTTCATAAGAGCTTCAGAAATTGCAGAGCTCATTTATGGATTAGCGCTGCCCACCACTGCTGATGCTGTTGAACGTTCAACAAGAAAGTTTTACTTTTCTGACCCTTAAAGCTGCTAAATTTCATAAAAATGTATTTTTAACATCTTTTTTTTAAACTCGTTATGTCCTGACAGTAGAATATGAGACAGATGATCTGTGAAATAAAAAAAGCAACTCTGGCTCGTCCCAGTGGTCTTACTGCCATTTGCAAAAGCAGCCGATAAGAGACGAGTGGGGTACCAGTGTCAATCACGCTCGTACTAAAAATTTCAAATTCCAATCAAATTTACCATGTTCCAAATATTTACTACTTCAAAATGATTAGTTATATCCCAATAATTTTCCATACAAGCAAATATTTTCATTATAAATGTCATCTATTATAAGTTGAGTTTTACAATTTGCACATTCTCACACTTATAACCTTTCATAGTTTGTTGCATAAGCTTTATTTTATTTAGCTTACCTTTGAGAAATAAACTGCCGTCTTGTAGTTAGTTTAGTACATTTTACCTTCAGATAGATCATATGGTCATCCTTTGCTGCTACTACATTGGCCCAGAGGTGACAAACACAACTTTGCCTTTAGACTATAGACCATCACAGTCTGAGGGCAGATGGGTGGTTTAAGTGGGCTGAGAAACCATCAGACAGTGATAGATCTAATGCTGAATGTTCGTCTTCACTCACTCCCTCCTTCCAAAAACTGCACAAGCTAGAGTTTGACTCTTCAGTGAGTGTGATGTGTACCAGAGAGCGTGGCTCCGCTGTGAGTGCTGCCAGGAGTGGTGGCATCAGGTTCGTCCCGCGGGAGCTCTCCGATTGAGAAGGACACCTTGCTGGGATCACTGAGGCCTGACGTGTCGTCACCTTCACTCTCGGCAGAGATGGCAAACTTTGGCAGCAAACTTGGACGAGGACCTTGGTTTGTGCTCTCCGTGTCTGTTGAGTGTGACAGCGAGGGCCTGGATCAAAGAGACGATATAAGGTGAGCCAGGTGAATGTGTTTATTTGTCTTTTAGCAATATATATCTTATAACCCATGAAAGAGGTTTTAATGAAAAGTTCAGAAATAGGAAACTGGATGTATAACTACAACTGATTGACCATTGAAGTCAACCCAAATCAAGATGGCTGTCCCTGCAACCTAAACTTAAACACAATGAGTGTCTAGATCTCAATCAACATGAAAGATATTTTGCTAAAATTGTGTGCGGCAGGACTGATCCTTAGCACATTTTTCAAGTCTCTGCTCAAAATACTGCCATTGACTGTTACAGTGTTATCAAAATATCTCATGAATCTCTGAATTGATCTGAAGGAAACTTTTATGAAGCATTAAGCCTGAGTTATACTGGCGCTTTGGTCCACGGGCTCGAGCGCGCGGAGTGCGCATGCACTGAGGTGTGCGGCTTCTGCGTTTATAGTTTCGCCGCTGTGTTTATAGTTGACGCACGATGGCGCATTGCAAAGTGCTGTTCTTTTAAGGACCAGCAGGTGGCAGTACGCTCTAAAATCTGTGAATAGGTTGTAAGAAATGGGCGTAGAAGAAGAAATGTATGACGTCACACAACTTTATTTTGTTTTTATTTCATTAATTCCTTCATGTTCTTGATTTAATTTCAAAGTTGTTTTTTCTTTGCTAACTAAGTGTGGAGCTATCTGCCACATTTGCCCTTAATGCCTCCTGTTTTGGCCTCATATCTTTAGTTTTTAAGTCTATTTTCGAGTGTAAATGACGTTAAATAAAATGAAACTACAGTGAAATATCCACTGAAACTTTCCTTCTCAGGTTTGTTTGCATATTGTCTTATTGTCAAAGTCAACAGTTGCACTCTATAAAATTAGGTATGAAACAGACTTTTTATAAATGTAAGAAGAACATTCAATGTTACTATAAATAGGAAACCTCAAATGGTATTGTAAATATATTTCCCATCATGAATCAAAAGAAAGCTTTGCTGCCTCACAGGAAAAATCCTCAAATTTTAATTTTGTTATTAAAAATCAAGTTTTTATTAGTACTGCTCAAAAGAGTAATTCTAAGACATTCTTTAGGTTTATTTTTCAGATGAGTAAATTTAATTAATATATTACTAGAACATGTAATTCATTTTTCCAAGCCTAACAATCATCTTTCTGCATCGCTTCAGCGATCTCCTTCCAAACCTTCTGTGCCTTTTGAACATCTTTATGATCTCTCATAGAGGGATCATATAAATGCTGGTACATCCGGATACGTGAGCAACTTTGCATCGTCAACGGCGCGTACACTAGACTTTGCGGAGTTTAAAAAAATCGGAGGTGCATGACACGTGGCAAAACAACACTCGCGCAGGGGCGGGGACGGTGATATTGCGTCACTTTTGGTATGCACACCATGGCGCCCTGCGCGACGCGTCTAATATACAGGTGCTGGTCATAAAATTTGAATATCATGAAAAAGTAGATTTATTTCAGTAATTCCATTTAAAAAGTGAAACTTGTGTATTATATTCATACATTACATACAAACTCATATAT